TTTGTGCAAAATGTGGCTCTCTTTCCTAGTGACAGCGAGTGAGCAGGCAGGCAGAGGGCTCTGTTACTGCCTTGAGAGGTGCATGGATGCTCGGGCTCGTCGCTGTGTGCATTGCAAAATCGGCTCCCGGTATTTGCTCACATCCGTGGATAAGCTGGTTGCATGGTAATGGGTGCCTGAATATCTCACAGCTGGGTCGAGCCCGTAATCTGCTCGTCAGAGCTCATGTGCTGTTTTTTTTTTTTTCCTCCTACTATTAGGTTCTGCTTGCTAATGAGGGGCTGAAATCTTCTGCTAATTGTCTGCTTCATGTTGCTTTGCTGTAAAATACTGAGATGTAATTGGCAGGGCTGCAGATATTTTTCAGTGCTTTGTTTTCAGCATTAATGCTTAAAGGGCACATTTAAACTTATAGGTAAGACTACCTCTTGCAGTAAAATTGTATTTTTCATGCTAATGTCGGTTCAAATTAGTTGGAAATGTCAGCCTGGATAATTTGACTTTTTCGTGTATGAGATGTGACCTTTTGGTTTTCTAATGAAGTCTTAAAGTATTTATTGCCAGGATATGTTTTTAGTGTCTGTTTTGCCTTATTATTATATATGTGTATAAAAGCATGATCTAGGGCTGCTCTGGAGTCAAGATATATTTGGTTTTGATTTTCATATGAGAAGGCATTCTGAATCTGCCAAAGTAGAAATTACTCGCTGCTATTGCTTCACAAATTTGTACGTAAACCCCAATTTTCAGCAGTTTGCCTCTTCATACAGCAGTAGGTACATTCTTTCCTGCAACACAGAGGGATGATCTACATGATTAGCTGGGACAACCTGCATCGGAGCAGCTGCCTTCTGTTGACTCTGGCCTTGACATGTTCTTTTACCAGAGAGTGTAATACTTTACTTCAAGATCTGCATAGGCTTTTTATAGTTGCAGCTATTCAATGTTTGATTGAAGAAATATGTTGAATTTTGAAAGCGAAATCTTAAGCGTTTCAGATTTCAAATCTTGGCTATAATTGCTTCCCTTTGGTGTGACTGTCTTGGCCCTCATTTCCAGAAGTGCAGCATTTTGCGTCCCTACTGAAATATCAGGACTTATAGGTACTATGTACTTTCTGAAGACCTAGCACTTGGTTTTGAAAAGGCACAATTAATTTAATACCTGTTCCAGTATTGAAGTAGGATTGCAAATAAGGATTGCAAATATGGCAATAATGTTTCTACTCTACATCCTCTGTCTTAAAAATGAAGGTAGATACAGTTAAATATTTGTGGATTAAAAAAACCCCACACTATACCATTCTTAAAGTTATATTTTGCCAGTGTGTATATGCCGTCAACTGTTAGACAGTTTTCCAGGAGTTTCAAAATCATTTGAAGCTGTGGGTGAGTTATATTATGCTGCATAAGAATTTATTAATAATGAGGAACAAATCAGCATTTAATTTAAAGCTGCCATCAAGAATTAATTTCATAAAGAATATATGTGGTAGCTGTTGTCCTGCTCATCTTGCCAGGGAGAGCAAGTCTGAAGAGTGCAGACTGGGATTAATCAGGTTGGAATGAAAAGAGAAATCATTCCTGAGACAAATTCTGGATTTTAGAGACCAGACTTTGTGATGTGCCCTTATTTGACTGCAGGAGCCTGATTCACCCCCTGATGTCCCAAAATTAAAATCTTGCTCTACTGCACTGGCAGAGGTCTACAAACGAGTGTCCGCGTACTTTGGGTTTTATTTTAAGGTCTGTGCCTACTGCCAGCTTAGTGCATCAGGTTCTTTGCGTAGCTGCGATTCAGGGCCCGTCTGCCTGTAATCCTGAGATCAAAGGAAGGACTGAGCTTTTCTGAAGAATAATGTGAAGCATCAGGATGTTAATTTGAAACCTTGCAGCTTGTAATTTTTTATTTGTATTCAGTGCAGACCCTCAGCATTCTCATTTTCCACTAAGCTGAGTGCCAACCTTTCATGCCTCCCCATTAGGGAGGGAGCGTTTCCAACTATCAACTCCTCAGCAAGCATCAATTCCATAAATGC